GTGTGTGTGTGCGAGTACGCGTGTGTGTGCGTGTGGGTGAGCATGCGTTTGTGTGTCGTTCTTGTGCTTGTGCTTCCCCGCGATAGTCCCCCACTACATCGCCATCCACGCCTCCTGTAATGCGTACGTTCTCCATGCCCATGTTCCCAAACGGCAGGACTGGGCGGCGGCAAAGGACGTGCTGGATACGCTTCGGCTGAATCTCGGCTCACACATCCACGCACTGCGCGAACGATACATGGGATCCACCCTCAAGAGCTACGAAGAGGTGTGTGTGTGTGTGTATGCATGTATGTATGTATGTATGTATGTATGTATGTATGTATGTATGTATGTATGTATGTATGTATGTATGTATGTATGTTTGCACTGAGCTTTGAGTTGTGGTGATTGACTGTGCTGCCCACACTAACCCTGACACATCTGTACGCACTCGCGCAATCACATCACATCACAAACAACGCACGCAATTTGCAGGATCTTGACAGCATGTCGATTGCCGAGGGCACAATTGACACGTGGAACTGGACGCTGCGTGACAGTAGCCCTGCATCGAATCACCAAGAAATTATCGAACAGAACATTCAAGGCTTCATGTTCCTCTCGTGCGTACACAGTGGCACATATATCCAGTGTTGCACATCTGTTTGAAGTCATCTCCTCTGTGCATGCAAGCATCGCACGTATATGTGTGTGTGTGTGTGCACGTGTGCCTGACCACGTGCATCCATGCCTCGCTTCATGTTTTGCTTGCAGGGACACGCACGACAATGGCGCCGGCACAAATGAACTCAATCTCTCTGACATCACCATCCACAACCGCCTTCCCAACGAGAAGTACAGACACAGAGAGATTGTGTGTGTGTGTGCGTGTGTGTGTCTATGTGGTGTGTGTGTGTCTATGTGGTGTGTGTGTGTGTGTGTCTATGTGTGCGTCTGTGTGGGTGTATTGTGCATGTGCTGTTCGAGTGCTCGCATGATACGGTGTTCATCGTGTTTTGACTGCTTCGGTGTCCCTCGGCGACCTAAACGTCGCATCTTTACCGCCTCCCCTCACCCTTGTGCTCATCGCGTGTACCCCTGCAGATATCCTGTTGCGCTTGGACGGTACACGGGACCAAACGCACTCCCTCCATTTGATCGTGATCTCTTCTTCCGCTACTTTGCGCAGCTGCAGCCGCCCGTAGCCGGTATGAAGGTCATGCAACACGTCGAAATCAACTGCGCCCCAGCCTCCCTGCAGGTCTCGCACAAGTGAGTGTCGTCTCCCGTGTGTGTGTGTGTGTGTGTGTGTGTGTGTGTGTGTGTGTGTGTGTGTGTGTGTGTGTGTGTGTGTGTTGTGTGTGTGTGTGTGTGTGTGTGTGTCTGTGTCTGTGTCTGTGTCTGTGTCTGTGTCTGTGTCTGCGTGTCTGTGTCTGTGTGCGTGTGTCTGTGTCTTCTTTCGCTTGATGTCACACGACCACTGCCTCTCGTGTAATTTGCTACTTAACTGCTGTGGCCGATCTGATTGACCGTACACCTTCCTCCACGATCATCCAGTTTGGCGAAACGCATCGAGGAGTTCTACTTCCCATCAACGCCAGGTGCTGCTCGTGGTGGTCGTCGTCGCGGTTGTAGTGATTGTGATTGTGATAGGTGAAGCCGCAAACTCATGCACGGACTGGGCACCGCAGCATCTGCCAGTGGTGAATCGTCTTTGTGCCGTTACACTCTGTGGCGTGTTTTGTGCTGCCTCGTCCGCTCACGCATATCGTTCAAACATACACGTTCGCATGCACAGAGGAGGAGCCACCGAGCCGTTCATCGATTGCAACAACAGCGTCCGGGATGTCGCTCGCATCTGCCCACCAGCGGCTTGCAAGCGCCGTATCAGAGGCAGCAAGCATGGCTGCGTACGTGTGTCTGTGTGTCTGTGTGTCTGTGTGTCTGTGTGTCTGTGTGTCTGTGTCTGTCTGTGTGTCTGTGTGTCTATGTGT